CGCTGTCCTGCTTCACGGTGTCTTGTGGCACGCTGTCCTGCTTCACGGTGTCTTGTGGCACGCTGTCCTGCTTCACGCTGTCTTGTGGCACGCTGTCCTGTGGCACGCTGTCTTGTGGCACGTCTTGTGGCACGTCTTGTTCATCTTGTTTGAGATCGTTGGCGGCGACGTGTTGGATGAGACTGACCATGCCGGCGATGTCTCGGATGATGTTCATGGCCGCTTGAGTTCTAGAAGCTACGATTTTGGTCTGTAGTTCTCGGTCCATGCGATAGAGGTAGGCCTCGATTTGATCGCGCATGGTTCTGTTCCAGGCGAACTCGAGTTTAGCTTGCCACTGGGCGGCGATTGCGATGATGGAGTCGTCGGGTTTCTGAAGCGTGGAAAGACTGTGCTTGGTGGCGGTGGCGTTGTCCTTGAAGCTGAGGGCTGTGTCCGCGAACCAGACAAGGTCGGATGAAATGGCGTGTGCAGTGAGCGCGGCCTGCCACGTGCCCACGGCCCGCGGTAGCTGGAGATACCGCGCCATGAAGGGCACGTCGTCAGAGTCCCAGTAGCCCCGTGCCTCCGCCATCGGCTTCATTGGCGGCAACTCTTCCTCCGGCTTCTTCTCGACCACCGCCTTGTCCTCAACCGACTCAGTAGGCACGGCCGCCGCCTGGGCCGCAACAGGCGCAGTGGCCACGACCGCTGCCTGGTCCTCACTCGGCACTTTGAGCTCAGCCAACACCTGCTGCTCTGGCTTCGGGGCCTTGGGCCCAGCCTCGGGCTCCCCGGACTCCGGCTTCACAGTCTCCGGGACTGCCCTCTCGAGGGTTTCGGTTGCCACCGCGGGGTCTCCGGAGACGGGCGTGCTCGATGCGAGCACTCCCACCCACACACGCACACAGTTGGGACGGGATAATGTCGACTTCATAATTTCCCAAAAAAAATTTCCGTGAAGGTTCGGCCGGGGTTCGTGCCGAGTTTCATGCCGAGAAGTCAGCACCATCCCAACGGCAGCGTACTTCCCGCGAGGGTGAGGTTGTTTGCGGACGATATTCTTGGCTTGGTGCGGCCAGCCTTGTACCCTGTTCACGCCAGCTCAGCCCCTCATGGAGCCCAGGTAGGTGTCAACAGGTTCTGATGAGGTTGGGTTTGTGGGCGTGGCTTGGGCAGCTCCCTCTTGGAGGGGGATGGACCGGGTGGTCTGGGAGTAAAGCTTGTGCTGCGAGTAGGACCTCCTAAAAAATGATTTACTGGATCAAGTACGAGCAGAACTTAGCAACGAACTAGTACTTGTCCCGCAGCATGGGGTTATAGTAGCGAACTCAAAAACACCCTAGTGACTTCAAGCCAGACGGCTGAAGAATGCAACATCCAGCACACGATTTCATCAGACGAAAATAATGTCATCATCACCGTCATTCGGACGAAAGATGGTTAATAATGTTTATCATCATTCCGTGTGCGTAACATGTGTGTGCGCGCGATTGTTTCGAAGGCAAACGAATATAGGGGAAGGGTGGCTTTGCAGTACGTCAGAGGTATCAAGTCAGAGAATGGACATCAACTTTAATAATCATGAATGACTCATTGATTAAAGGTAGCTCATTGATCTTCTCATCATTCCGTGTGCAGAACATACTCGAACGCTGTAGAGTTCGAACGCTGTAGAGTTCGAACGCTGTAGAGTTCGAACGTTGTAGAGCTCGAACGTTGTAGAGCTCAAAAAAAGGATTGCCAGGTGACTGCCGAGTGGATGTTCAAAAAAAAAGGTAGTCTTCATGTCTCCTCGTCGAGGTGAGTGGGTCAATGCGAGGTCGTGAGTGGGTCAATGCTCATTAAGAAAACATTCATCAGGAATGTAGCGCGCGTGTGTGTGTCACTGTTAGTAGGGTGACATAATGAGAGTCTTCAATGCCACATGCGGTATTGTGAGTTTGTATGTTAGCTTGAAGAAGTGCGGCGGCATTTTCGGACTTGGTTTCCGGGACGGTTTTGTAGGTGACACCATGTAGTTGTCGCCAGCGAAGGAACGCGGTTAATGCCGCACAGACAGGGAGTACAGAGCAGTAAATAATGAACACAGTTCGATAATTGGAGGTCGATACAACTGGGATGTTTAGGAAGGTTGCACAACCTCCAACCACTCCTAAGAAACCTACCAGCTTGCCAAAGTTGTAAGGATCAAACATTTCCGCAACATACGTATACTTCACCTCGAAGATCGCACACTGAGAAATTACCAAAATTGAACATGCAAGGTAATGCTCCCATCCAGTAGGACATGTAGCACAGATGGTCAAAATAAATGACATCTCTAAAAATAAACACATTCCAATCATCAAATAGGCAGTACAGAACCAGTCAGCTATCACGCCAACACATAAAGCCCAAAATGCTTGTGTAGGCATTGCGTAAGCCATGAAGTCCGAAATCTCATCAGATATCGCGTAAGCAACCACAGTCGGGTAATAGGCATACTAAAAGGAGAGGGACTCAAATAGGACAGGTGGTGGGTGGTCCCCCCCCCCCTAAGTGGTGGGTGATTACAATAAGCATCATAGTGGCGAAGTATATAGCCATGACGAGCATGTCAATGTTGGCGAGGTTCTTTCCGAAGGCTTTCCAGGAGGCTTTGCCCTCGATGATGTCTGTGGCCTCAACCTCTTCGGTTGGTTCGTCTTGTACCAGTTGTTGTCTCTGTAATTTCAGCATTTTCTTGAAGTCATGAGCTCCGGGTAATGCGAGTATGTACAAAATGGTGATGGGTAGCCAGACGACAGCTAGATAGACAAGCCAGATGGTGCGTAGAGAGCAGTCGGTATGTCGCATTATACTGTATAGCAAAGGGGGTATACCCGTAGCTGCATTTTGGGCACCAAGGACCACTCCAACCATCAGGCCTTGCCATGCCGGAAAGGTTTCGATGGTGGTGAGTGCGGGAAAACAGACAATATTCACACTGGACCCGATGATGATCATGGCGGGAATGTATGATTGGAACGAGTGTGAAGACATAGCTAATAGGAACGTCCCAATAGCCCATGTTACCTCACCAATAAGACCTGAACGTCGCGGTCCTAAGTGGTCTAGAAACATTCCCCCGATCGCGGCTGAAGCATATTCGCAGCCTGCCGCTATAGAATACAATCGACTGATTGCATCCTCCTGTTCCTTGCACTGCTCCCCCATCGGGCATAGCCAACTGTATGCCCCATCTTGGAACAACATCTTCTGATACTGCTGCCATCCGTAGTATAACGCACTTGTAAACAACGTCGCCGCAACAAAGATCGCCATTCGCACCCACTTATTACAAACCCAGCGACGCCATCCGCGTGCCTCAACAACCATCTTGTCCTCTCCCCCAATGATCGATGACAGGGGAACCACTCCTAACACCTTAACCTCACTACTCATAATTCTGAAAAAGAACACCCAAACACACGTGTGCACACTAGAAGTGTGTGCACACTAGAAATGTGTGCACACTAGAAATGTGTGCACACCGGAAACGGGGGGAATTCCCAGTGGTCCGGACTCTCGGTCATTGCGCCGGCCATGGCGGGCGATTTTTATTCCGAGTTATATGGTATGTGATTGCGGGTGCAAGGAGACTGTAGTGAATGACGCCCGGGGTGAGACGATATGTACGTCGTGTGGACGTGTGCTGTCACAAGGCGCCATGGTAGACATGCTCACTTTCGGTGGAGGTGGGCGTATGCAAGGACAATTCATTGACGCTCGTACTGGCACGATTCGCGGCTTTGCATCGTTGTATGGACCCCGAAATAATAGTGAGGTAACATTAGCTCGTGGCTTCGGTAACCTGGAGCGAGTGGCCGATCGGTTGGCGATTTCGCCTTCGGTAATAGAGGCGTCTAAGCGGCTTTATCGTTTGGCCTTGCAGAGGAACTTTACGGTGGGTCGGAATAACTACTATGTCGTTTCTGCCTGTCTATACGCAGTCTGTCGGAAAGAGAAGGCGGCCCAGATGCTGATCGACTTTTCGGACGCCCTCATGGTACCAGTTAAGACATTAGCTCAGGTCTTTATGAAGCTGACCGCCTCGCTATCCCTCCAAGTACCTTGCGTTGATCCCTCACTGTTCATGGACCGATTCGCACACAGCATGGAATTGGGCCCACGCGCAAATAAGGTTGCGCAAACGGGTGTCCGTATAGTGCAGGCGATGACCAGGGACTGGCTCGTCACTGGACGACGACCATTAGGGCTGTGCGCCGCGTCTCTTCTTGTCGCCGCAAGGTACCATGGATGCAAACTGAACTCTGATGACATCAACGATCTCTTCCGCGTCTCCCATAGCACCGTCGACAAACGCCTCCTAGAATTTCGAGCCACTGCTGTCGCACAAGTCGCCGTCAAAGACTTCGACCAAACCGATGTTCAGACACTACCGCACGCTGCACTGCCCCCCTGCGTTCTAAACCCTTCCAAACGTCGAAGGCTCATGCTACTCAACAACGACGACGCAGCTTACAACAGCAACAAGCCCGTGCATCTCCTCCACCAAGAACTTCCACAACTACTTGACAAAGCCGCCACCCCGGGCGCCTCTACGCCTGGGACCGTCGCAGCCGGTGTGGAGAAAGCTTTGCTGTCGCATCGAGACCAAGACGAAGCCAATAAGACCGACCGTTCGGAACAGTGGCTAGAGGCACGACTGCAACGACTCGCAATAGAAAACTCAGGCGCCACAAAACTCGGAACTGAAATTCCGCTGAGCGAAGTCACCACAGTGGAGATCGCTTGCAGCCAGGTAACTCACCCGTCCATGCTTCCCTATCAGGGCTTCCCTCCAAAGAGCATTTGCTCTGTTGACGTGTCTTTTTTTCCAGAAGTTGCCCGTGTCAGACGTGGCAGGAGTCGCGCACAACTTCGTGCGGGCGGCTGAGAAGAGAGTGGACGGCACGCAGTCGACGTCGGCCTCGCAGTCCACGGCTGCCTCGCACAACTTCGTGAGCACCCTGGGGGACGATGCCCAGTCGCTCATCAACAGCATTTTGGCGATTGTGCCAGAGGAGGAAAGGTCGAGTATCGGCGAGAAGGTTGGAGCAGGCGGTATGCTTGGGTCGACTGGGCTTGGAGCTGTCGACGCCGACAAGGCTGCAGCAGATGACAAGACTGCAGCAGATGACAAGGCTGCAGCAGATGACAAGGCTGCAGCAGATGACAAGGACGCGGCGGGCGACAAGGCTGCAGCAGATGACAAGGACGCGGCGGGCGACAAGGACGCGGCGGGCGACAAGGACGCGGCGGGCGACAAGGACGCAGCGGACGACAAGGACGCAGCGGGCGACAAGGACGCGGCGGGCGCGCCAGCCAACCTGATAAGCAACCCGACAAGCGGGGACTTGGTGAGTGATTCGATGAACATACTGGCGCAGCTGGGGTTCGGCGGCGGTCCGGACGGCAGCCCCGGAACGGCTACGCCGTTGTCCGGCAGCGTTGGGAATGCTCTAGTTCCCACGGAATTGGCGTTAGCTTTGCAGCAGTCGTTGGTGGAGGCAGAAGAGGACGAATACGTCCGGTTAGGTGAGAGCGTCGTGTCTGAGAGTTTGAGTGACGTGGAAGACAGTTGGGTGGAGCCCTTTTTGTTGACAGAAGAGGAGCGGGAGGCCAAGGCGGTGTTATGGGATGAGTTAATGAAAGATGTCATGCCGTTGGTACTGGAGCGCGCAAAAGAACGACGCGCGCGAGAAGGCAAACGCCCCGGTGCCAAAAAAAGACCGCCCCTGAAGAGTATGACCAACGCCGGAGACAGCGTCAAAGCCGCCCTCTCTAGAGCTAATGCCAACCTTAGCGTCAATGAACAAGCCGTAGACGCATTGTTTAGTATATAATTCCGATTAGCTGCAAATTGAGCCAGCTGGGAATTGAACCCATAACTCAAGCCCATAACACCCAAGCCGCGTATAGAATTCCTAAGGTCGCGAAAATAAAGCAGTGGTGAATGGTGAAAAGGGGCGAACCCCAGTTGGACCAACGGGGCGTGCAGGGAGGGAAGACAGACCTGCTCAGGTCTCAGAAAACATACCTGGTATGTAGAAGAAAATGCTCAACAAGAGGTCAATCCAGAACTCATTGGTCAACCTCTCTTGGTCGATCAGCAACGCCGCCGGCGGCAGCAAGATGCAAAAGATAACCAGCAAGATGTTCTTCCCCGTAGATCGCCTCGCCATTTTGTTCACTTTTTAAAAAGAGATTTCTGCAAGTACGTATCCAGCAAGTGTGCGGTGTGTGCGTGCACACACTCAGATATTAATCATTCATCCCACCCGCGCAGTCAACCGCCACAAGGCTAGATCAAAGAGCTCGTGGGCAAAACCAAAGCTTCACAGTCCGGTCGAAGGAGGTGGTGCAGATCTGTCGCTGCGGGTTGATGCTGGCTCCGTTGACGAAGCCTTCGTGACCAACGAGTACCTTGAGGCACTGGTACGAGGAGCCGTGCCAGATGCGAGCGGTGCAGTCGTGGCTGCCGGTGAGGAAGACGGCGCCGTCGGCGGCGAACTGGAGACTTGAGACAAGGTTTTTGTGGCCACCTAAGACGTGGGTGCAGTCGAGTTTACGAACGTCCCAGACCCTGATGGCTTTGTCTCCGCCAGCGCTCGCGAGTATGTGAGACTGCAACGGGTGCCAGTCCAGTGCCAAGACCTGGTCGACATGCTTCTGCAGCTCCATGACGGACTTGCCCGTCCTCAGGTCCCAGACGCGAACGATGCCACCCAAATCCGACGTAGCCAATAAACCGCCGTGGGGATGGTGACGAAGGCCGTAGACCCCGCGGGCATGCCCCTCTTGGAGCACCAACTCCTTCTCCAGGTCCCAATACCGCCAGGTCTCGTCATGCGAGGTAGACGCCAACCAACAACCTGACGGGTGGAAATCCAGACGATTAACGCGCAACTCGTGACCTACCAGCCGAGCCGCCACACGCAAACTACGACCAAACTCCGCCATCTCCGAGTCCGCTACCCGCCCGGGGGCGTCCTGGGATTCGGCATTCGGGAGTTGAACGCCGTCGTCCGCAGTCTCACTTCTCCATATTGCAATGACACCTTCTCCGTCGCAAGTCGCCAGCATCTCGCGCTTTCGGGGGTTCCAGTGCATGTGATGGACCCGCGACTTGTGGCTCTCAACCAGCTTGAAATGCTCCGTTAGCGAACTGTTCCACAATGTAATCTCCGTAGAGAGCCCGCCAGCTGCCAAGTAACAACCAGACGGATCCCAGGCACCGCCAAGCAGAGGTCTCATGTCTGCAACCACGGAGCTCATACAGTCATAGCCCGTCCAGTCATAGCCCATCCAGTCGCTTTCGTTGACTATTCTGCCTTCGGCAGCGAAGCCGCCCCCTCCCCGATTTCTTCCACTTTCGCCTCCAACCCCGTCTTCCTTCTTCACGCCCTCGTCCGCTCTGACCTGCTCCGGGTCTTCGTTCGCCAGCGCTGCACGCTTGGCCACGAATGCGTGGTACATAGACCACTGGGCAATCGCAGTCCGCACCTCCTTCAGAGCAGTCGTCCCTTCCGTGTAAAATGTCTCATCGGCCTTGACCACCGCGTTGCTTTCAATGGACAGCGAGGCGCTGATTGGCAGCGGCCCTTTCTTCTGCACTACAAACCTTAGTCGTTCTCTCCGCTCAAACGGACCTTCGCCAAATACTGTTTGGGGCTCTCCCTTGAGCCGCAACGCTAAGCGAACATCTTTATCTGCAGTAGGCAGCTAAAAGGATCGAATTTGGGTTAGTTTAGTTTGGTCATGCAGAGCAAACACGTGTGCGATGAGCACTCGACGTGCGTCATGGGCGTGAAACGTGGCCCTTACGATAAGACCACGGGCTTCCACGGCTTTATCCCACGCCTTTTGCTTCTCATTTGTCATTTTTCATTTCGAGCGGGGACACTGGAGGTTTAATGGGATAAAATTGTACAAAACAAGTTCTGTTTGGACAACCAACATCCGCCGTCAACCAACGCCGCAGGCCAGCGTTCGTCTGGCGCCCGGCACCTGTCGGAATTCAACCGGATTTGGCCGCACACACGTGTGCGACTGCGCGCGCAAACACGAAACGCCGTCGACCGTACAGAATCTCGTGAGTGGCCCGCGTGGGAATTCTGCGTATTGGCGATGCAAATTATTTTAATGTCCAGAAGACGATATAATACCGATAGGTGGTCACCAGAGCAAAAGGCCGCCATTTTCATGGCCATTACGGGGGCATTGTCCGTTGGTGTATGGATATGTGGCTTTTGTTGGCCGAGCAGCTCAGCAAATAAGCCGTATTTTTTACCGGTGGAACACAAGCGGTGGATAAGACGCGTGTACCGCTGTGTATAATATTCGTGGTTGTGATAACTATTCCCCGTATGTTCCTATTGGATCTGCTGCTTATCGCGACATGTTTTGGTCAAGATGAGGAGCTTGGAGTGATGAGAAACGAACGGTTAGCCGAGCGGATTTATAGCGCCTATCAGTTAGGTTCCCCTTACACGGCTACCACTTCGACTCTGTTAAGTACGGATCAATATGAAAGCAGCTTGGAGTGGCTTCTAGATTGCAACAGCGTCCCCCTGAGTGAAAAATACCAAGACCAACGCATGGCGCTTCAGCAACCCCTCATAAATGAGGAGCAGAAAGAACTACGCGAGCTGGTGGATAGCCTTTGGTCAGTCTTACACAGGAGACTAAATGCGGATGCGGACTATTCTCGTAAGGCCGACGCGGGTCAAAAAACTCCCAGTCAGGAGACTGGTAGTTCGGAATTGAGGAGTCTGGAGAATTGTGGATGCGGAGCGGACCTTCTGAAAGAAGAGAACCGGTTTGCGCAGCACTTCGAGGCAGAAGGCTTGCTTCGTGGGAGTAGCCGTCACAATGCTTCACGCGGAGTGGCTCATGACGTAGCTCTCATCGTTTCGGTGCCGGCGGCCATCGTTTCTGCATACGCCAAGCAGTGGCCCCCACAAGCTCGGGACCCCCGCCGGCCACAGGACCCTAACCAGCCACAAAACCCTGACCAGCAGCAGGATCATACTTCCGGTCGGGACCATAACTCTCACCAAAGGCCGGTTTTTCGCTTGCCTTCGGCTCGGTCGCAACTGTTTCGTTTCTGGATCGGCTTATTTTACTTACGGACCCTTCCTGGCGAAATTATCGTGATTACAGAAGGAGTGCCGAGCGCCGACTGGCGGTGCTTTGCGGAGCTGCTGAGACTTGTACGGCTAAAGTATTTGGTCGAAACCCGCGTCCGCCTGCGCTGGGGGGCCTACCAATTCGACCGACCCGGAACGTTCTCTCGGGAGGGGGATTTGACTCAGGAGGGGGATTTGACTCAGGAGGGGGATTTGACTCAGGAGGGGGGTCTGACTCAGGAGGGGGGTCTGACTCAGGAGGATGACGTGGATGTGGCGCACGACGCGGTGAGCCTGTGGTTGGGTGTTCGACACACGCGGAAGAACTTTGCGATTCTACACGAAGGTTCGATGGAGTCCGCGATTGCCCCGTACTCGGTGGGCTGGAGAGCTAACGTGCTGCGCCAGACCAAGGGCGTGGACGCCGTCTTCGGGCGGCGGCGTCTTGGCGACTACGCGGCCGAAACAGCATTTTTGGCTGAGGGCGACAACTCCTCGACGTTCTGTCCTACCGTCCAAAACGACAACGACATCACACTTGGGACCGCTCATGGGACTGCGCTTACACGTTGGAAGTTCCGCGACGTGTTCGACGTGCACAGTTTGGCCTCGGGCACGGTGGAAGGATGGCCGTTCTTAACGTACTGGCACCCTCTGCACTGCAGGGCGTGGTTGCGCAAGATCGCGGAGGAGAAAGCGCGCATCCACGAACGTTTTTTGTGGATACTACCAAAGTGGAACGCGCTCGAACTCCGCAGCAACCGCTTCTTCGCCGACACCTGTGGATCGGCCTGGTCCACAGACACCCTGCAGGAGGCGGCGGTGGCTGATGCCTCGAGGGTGGTTTCGCCAAGTGCGAGGGCGCTCTTATACGATCGCCAGCTCTCTCACGTCGTTCGGAACAGCTTGTGCTCCTTCGCCACTCCGATCGTGCGAACCGCTGCGTGGAAAGCTGTGAAGCCGATTCCACAACCCGGCTCGCTGGCTGCCGCGAGTCAAGTCTTCTTTTTCATGGCTCACGGCTTCCAAGCCGTCTGTGCGAACATGACGGTGGCGCTCTAGCCGCCCATTTTTGAGCTGTTGTGTCTACACGTTTTAGCCACCGAAAAATTGCTCATTTAACGTCGACCGTCGGGTTAGGGCAGCGGTGGGTATACACCCACCGGCAACAACCGGAGTATTTTCTGAGAAGATGCGCTTGATGGAATGGGAGGACGGGCAATTGCCGTGAAAGGAGCGAAGCTTAGTCGGTTGTGCGCAACGGCCTGAAGAAGTTCTTGGAGACCGTGGAGGCAGTTCTTGGAGCAGACACAAGGTTTGGGTGGACGTGTTCGGGAGGTGCGGCGAAGTACTTGCCCGGGACACGGGCGACGATGAGTTGGCGGTGTCAAGAAACTGAAGCGGGAGAACTGCAGGAGCGCGATGCGCACAAAAGGCGCAAAGGAGACGAGGCCGGATCGGACAGACACAGAGGCGAGGCCGAATCGGAAAGACACGGTGGCGGTGCGCCGCAATTGCTGCAAGGGGCAGCGGCTCTGAAAGAAACTGGCGCTAGCACGAGGTTCATTCGCCGAGGGGTATCTACGGCGACGTGGGGGAACCTTTTTTAGAAACCCGTTTTTGGAAGCCGCTTCTTACAGGAGCAGATTAAACAGGTATGCCGGCCAACTCCAATGGCAGACTCAAGTCAGGGGAATGGCTCGAAGTCGGCTGCAGGCGAGAGTCGACGAGGTCGAAATTCTGGTCGGACAGCCAGCAGCATCTGCCATCGACACCCGACGCGACACAAACTCAGTCCCCTCGCAAGCCCCCAGACCAAGGCGAAAACTTCAAAAATTCATCTGACGTCCGGCACCCGTTCGAGGCGCACTTGTTCAGTATTTGACGTCTATGCATCGCCACACAACTAAGCTTTGCTTGACGACGGAAATATCGATGTCAGCCGAAAAGGTCATCCATGGAGAACGACTGCGGTTCATCAGCACCCACTGTGAGCATTCTCCGTTCGAACGATATTCCGCCAGATCTGTCCAGTGTACCGTGAGCTGCTTCATACGTTTCCAGCGATATTTTCTTCTTGGCTGCAACGAACAGCGCAAACACCTTCGGATTATTTTTGAGCTCCCTGGTGATTTTCTGTGAAATCTGCTTAGTAGTAAACTGCGGCATATGTGCCTGTATCATCACGGTATCGTTACCGAACATAGAGACCCACTTGTAGAATTCGTTGGTGTTTTCGCCGCTCCATTTGGTAGCCTTCGTGTTTTTGTAAGCGCCTTTGAAAGGCGTCAAACCACGGTTGCTAGCTTCATATGTCGTTAGCTCGTATATATCGCTTCTATCATTCGCGGTCGAGAAAAGGTCGCCTCCACCCACATCTAAAATAATACAGCTTGACATAATATGACCCGCTTACCGAAATCGTTGGCGCCAACGGCAAACAGGTCGGTTTCTTCAGGGGCTGTCACAATGGGTTCCGGTCGTGCAACTGTTTCGACGGTACCTCCAGTGAATAAATCCAGGACGTCCGAGGCGCCCGCTTCAGCTCCCAGCTCCGTCATCATTTGCAAGCGCTCTTGTGCGGCTTTTTCTTCTGCTAGTCTCGCCGCTTCTTTATTCTTCCTCTTCGCCTCCTTCTCCTCGGCGGTAACCTGTCGTTTGTTCCTCATACAGATTTCCCACATTGTCAGGTCTCCGTCAGGGATTTGCTCGTCTTCCCATCGCGGTTTCGTTCGTTTCACTAAAGCATATTTTTCCCGCCTCGGCCGCTTCCTCACGGAGATTAGCAACTCGTCTTCCTCATCTAAAAGTGCTCCGTCCGCAGACGATGCGCCCAAAGACAAAGAGGCGGGGGGCGAGTTTTCGCCCGCCATTCTCGAAAAAACGGTTATTAAATTGTCCTAATCCGGTACCCGTCACTAATCCTGAGCTGTTCTAGCGAATTCCGATGGTACCAACCCTCCTGCTAGGGCCCAGCGGTGTCCAAATTCAACCGGATTTGGCCGCACACACGTGTGCGATTGCGCGCACAAACACGAAACGCCGTCGACCGTGGATACGCGAGTGGTCCGCGTAGAAATTCTGCGGATTGGCAATGCCGAAATTATTTTAATGTCCAGAAGACGATATAATACCGATAGGTGGTCACCAGAGCAAAAGGCCGCCATTTTCATGGCCATTACGGGGGCATTGTCCGTTGGTGTATGGATATGTGGCTTTTGTTGGCCGAGCAGCTCAGCAAATAAGCCGTATTTTTTACCGGTGGAACACAAGCGGTGGATAAGACGCGTGTACCGCTGTGTATAATATTCGTGGTTGGGATAACGATTCCCCGTATGTTCCTATTGGATATGCTGCTTATCGCGACATGTTTTGGTCAAGATGAGGAGCTTGGAGTGATGAGAAACGAACGGTTAGCCGAGCGGTTTTATTGCGCCTATCAGTTAGGTTCTCCTTACACGGCTAGCACATCGACTCTGTTGCACGGACCAATTTTAAAGCGGCTTGGAGTGGCAACAGCGTTCCCCTGAGTGAGAAATACCAAGACCGGCGCATGGCGCTTTAGCCTTCGGTCAGTCTTACACAGGAGACTAACTCTAAAGTCGACTGCAGATGCGGACCATTCCCGTAAGGCCGACGCAGGTCAAAAAACTCCCAGTCAGGAGACTGCTAGTTCGGAATTGTGGAGTCTGGAAATTGTGGACGCGGAGCGGACCTTCTGAAAGAAGAGAACCGGTTTGCGCAACACTTCGAGGCAGAAGGCTTGCTTCGTGGGAGTAGCCGTCACAATGCTTCGCGCGGAGTGGCCCATGACGTAGCTCTCATCGTTTCGGTGCCGGCGGCCATCGTTTCTGCATACGGCAAGGAGTGGCCCCCACAAGCCCGGGACCCCCGCCAGCCGCAGGACCCTGGAACCTGACCAGCAGCAGGACCCCTTTCCGATTCTGCACGAAGGTTCGATGGAGCCCGCGATCGCCCCGTACTCGGTGGGCTGGAGAGCTGACGTGTTGCCCAAGTGGGACACCGTCGAATTGCGCATCAATCGCTTCTTCGCCGCCACCTGCGAATTGGCCTGGTCTACAGGCACCCCCGAAGTCGCGGCAGCGGCTGAAGCCTCGAGGGTGACGCCTCGAGGGTGGCGTCACCAAGTGCGTGGAAAGCTGTGAAGCCGATTCCACAGTCCTTCTTTTTTATGACTCACGGCTTCCAAGCCACCTGTGCGAACATGATGGTGGTGCTCTACCCGTTCATTTTTGAGCTGTTGTGTCTAGACGTTTTAGTCACCGAAAAATTTCTCATTTAACGTCGAGTGAGAACCGTCTACCCACCGGCAACAACCGGAGTATTTTCTGAGAAGATGCGCTTGATGGAATGGGAGGACGGGCAATTGTCGTGAAGGGAGCGAAGCCCAGTCGGTTGTGCGCAACGGCCTGAAGAAGTTCTTGGAGACCGTGGAGGCAGTTCTTGGAGCAGACACAGGGTTTGGGTGGACGTGTTTGGGAGGTGCGGGTTCGAAGTACTTGCCCGGGACACGGGCGACGATGAGTTGGCGGTGTCAAGAAACTGAAACGGGAGAACTGCAGGAGCATGATGCGCACAAAAGGTGCAAAGGAGACGAGGCCGGATCGGACAGACACGGGGGCGAGGCCGGATCGGACAGACACGGGGGCGGCGCGCCGCAATTGCTGGCGGCGCGCCGCGGCTCTGAAAGAAACTGGCGCTAGCACGGCAGTTTATTTGCCGAGGGGTGCTTACGGCGACGTGGGGGAACCTTTTTTAGAAGTCCGTTTTTGTAAGACACTTCTTACAGGAGACACTTCTTACAGGAGGTTCATGATCATATTAAGAAGGGTATGTCGGTCAGGTCTAGCTAAGTGAATGGACCAGACAACATGAACGTGGCTGACACACGAATTCAACTACGTGCGACACGGTACCGTTTTCTTCTTTAGATACGGTACGGTAGATTCTCGTGGAGTTTGGTCGGTCTGTGGGTGGGAAGCCAGTCAGTAAAGCACACACACATTGACTAACTGTGGAGAGACTCTATATGGTCTACAGAAGGTTGTGCAAGGTGGTCTATTCTGGAACAGAAGGTTGTGCAAGGTGGTCTATTCTTGAACAGAAGGTTGTGCAAGAGTGGGACGAATATCTGGGACCGCGAAAGAGACACTTATGGCAACACGATGCCAGTTGTCCAACATGGTCGTGGGTGGAAAATAAAATGGTATCGAGTCCAGAAATGTATCGGAGTGGCTGCTCCCCGTCTGCTAGGGTACGTCCTGGAATACGGCGTCGGTTGAACTACGGGAAGGCGCCCCGTTCATTGAGCGCTGTATTGTTGACCGTAGGCGGTGTGGTCGATGCACAGCTATTGGAGAGCAGGACAGTTGGTGAGATGGCCAGTGGAGACTCTGCACTGGATTTGAGTGTGACCCATGTTGCATTGGATTTGAGAAACAAGCGAAACTGGGACTCAATAAATGGTTCTACCACTGGCGACTCCAATGCCGCCTCTAGAGAGGATGTTTTCGAGGACGTACAGATGTCCGAGAGAATGTGTGGGGAACCGGCAACCAATATCTTGCACCAGGCTGCAATGAGTAACGATGCCGTCGCAGCGATGAACAGCGCTGCAGCCGAGTTGCTACGGGGCTGGACCGAGAGTGACAAAGTGATTCACACGGTAAATGACATGAGCATTGACTCCCCAGACGAGCGGTTTGAAAGTGCCATGGAACGCTTAAGTGACCAAGTCGGCGGCGGTGACCAGGTGGACGCATTTTGGCGTCGTCAGCCATTTCGAATCATCTACCCACACGAAAGGGGTTTGCGTGTTGATGCAGGATATCTGGCATGGGCGTATGACACATTCTACCATGCGTGGTGGGACCTCATTCCTTTCGAGGTGAGTATGCCCATCTCAGTTTTTGGATTAGCCAAAATGGCTGTGGAGTGGAAAGCAGCGACTAGCAGTGGTTTAAGCGACAGTTCCATATTGGATACCGGTTGCTATAATTACGTCGGCAATACTGTTTGGGACGAGATGACGTTCTGTGAGTGGTTGAATTCTGGGCGATCGGCAAGGGACGTTGGATTCCGAAATGTACAAGACATCACCCAGGGTTCCTGGTTCATTCCAGTTAGTCAAGTGAATGATGCATTGGAAGACCTGCTGAGCCACTGGCCGATTAATCATCATGGTAGCCTCCAAGTTATGGGCAACCTGCATCGCTGGCGATGTGTTTACAGGAGGAACACAGGCCAAAATTTAACAGAGGCGTCACCCCGCACTGAATACTTGTCATGGCCACAATTTGAACGTGCGGCCATAATGACATTGGGCAATTTCTATATGCCCCTGACCGAGATCTCGATGGAATTTCGTAAACGTCAACATCAACGTAAGCGAGGAAACGTTGACCGGATGGGGTGATCATGATGAACTCCGTCGCATCTGGCTGTTGTTGGGGGAAATAACTGGAAAGGAAGTGGCTGGCTGAACTCTAACTTCCATCGTCTTCCCTTGTGTGATGCTTTTCGTCAGCAGTGGCGGGGACGGATCTGGGATCTCGAAGAGCCCCCCCCCCTTAGGCTGTCAACTTTTCGGTACAGCTGAGACTGATTATGAAAACGTTATCTTGCGCAACTATGAATGCGGAGAAGGCCCAAGTTGTGAAACGTGCGGACTAGAAGCGTTTTAGGATAGGAACCGTTTTGGGATAGGAACCGTTCGATTGAGACGCATCTGCGATCAACTGCGGGGCAATATTGACCAATAACAGACCGGATAGAAGATACTCCAATAACAGACTCAAATCTGTTCGGATTCCGGGTAAGGTCCGAATTTGATACCGAGCCTTCTGGCCGTTCCTGCGGCTGTCGGAACTTTGTCATTTTTACTGGTATAACCTTGCACCGCCCGCCATCAGTTATCTGCGCCCAGATACGCTTATTTCTGCCAAGGTTAAACATACTCCATCGCTTCTGTTGTCCTGTTTATCCTCAGCGGCTTACCGCAGTCCATTAGGAAACTATATTGGTTGGTTTGCATGACCCGGTTTAGGGGATGACCCGGTTTAGAGATAACGGCCACCAGAGATCTTCAGGTCTAAATGCCCTGCGCTGCCGGGTCAGGGGGGCTCGTGAATCGGTATCGGGCAGGTTGCATTTTGCGACAAGCAAATTCCGCTCATGCCGTCCCCGTCGAAGTCGAGAAGATTACCAATCTCCTTCCAGCTAGTCTTGCTTAGCGTGGGTAGCATCGAATCGCACACCTCCGCGTCCCAGCAGCTGAGGAGCCCCGCTACTCAAGAGTACAAGACGGCGTCAGTCGTGTTCACCAACCATGATGTAGTGGATCTGACGGCCGCTCGCAGGGGGGCCATCAAGCATTGCGCTGCTGCGGTGTCCATGCCACATAATGTCTGCTCAGAAAGTGCCTCCTCGACAGAGAATGTCTTGCCACGAAAGAGAAAACGCTTGGCCGCTACTTCTTTCCATGCCCCGCGAGAACATTTCTTGGAGCGGTTCCTGGATGGGCCAGGACAGCTGGAAGACTCAGGACAGCTGGAAGACTCAGGACAGCTGGAAGACTCAGGACAGCTAGAAGACTCAGGACAGCTGGAAGACTCAGGACAGCTGGAAGACTCAGGACAGCTGGAAGACTCAGGGAAGCTGGAAGACTCAGGAAAGCTGGAAGACTCAGGACAGCTGGAAGACTCAGGACAGCTGGAAGACTCAGGACAGCTGGAAGACTCAGGACAGCTGGAAGACTCAGGAAAGCTGGAAGAGTCAGGGAAGGAGAATGATGGAGTTACCCGGATTGTTGCGGATGACACGGGAGTTCGATTGGAGGGTTTGATCGAAGGGAGTCCGGTGGTGTATTTGAGTAATGGTGTTGATAAGAGCGTCCCTTCACTTTTGCTTGTTGGTCCGGAAGAGAAAGGACATTGCGTAGGAGCACGTTATTTGGTTTGGTCGTATGACGTATGGCTTAATAATTGGCAGCATTTAGTTCCGTTCAAAACAGTGGGGCCAATGTCCCTTTTTGGATTCGCTAAGATGGCGGAGAAGTGGGATGCCGATGGGAAATCTAATCCTTCGTTGGAAGCGGTTTGTTATACTAAGACAGGACGGATACCAGTTGTATGGGATGAGTCAAAATTTGTAGATTGGTTACTCAAGTCTGGAAGGAAATATAATCAGGTGGGTTTCGTACGGAATAGGAATGTTGGGCGAGTCATTACACTAAGTCAAGTGAATGTTGCGCTTGATGACGTCCTAGCCAGTTGGCCGATAACTAAGGATTTAAGCATCAGATTTGCCGACCGTATGCGACGTTGGTGGAGACACACACGTGTGCGATCGCTAAAAAAGACCGCCGGCGAGAATGTTATGTCGGCTCGTGAGTTTGAAGGACTTGTCGTAAAGACCGCTGCACAATTAAAGGTACCTCTAGACCAAGTAGCCAAGATGAGTCGAAGGTCTAAACGGAAGCAACAAGTCCTTGACAAAGCCGCAGAAGAAATTCCTGCTAGAAGCGCCGCCATTCTCAACGATGCGATTCCTACTTACTTGGTTGGCGTTTCAGGAAACAAGTTCCAAATACTCAACAAGACTGAAGAACGTCTCAAGACAAAGGAAACGCTACGAATTCAGCCGCGATACCTGGTCTGGGCATATGATACACTCAATCAAGGCTGGTGGGGTACCATACCAAAAACCATATGGTCACCGGAATTGTCCGTCTTCGGACTGGCTCAAAAGGCCAGCGAGTGGGAGGCTAAATGTGGAAGTATATATACTTTGTCATCAGGTTGTTATAAATGCGGAGAAGGCGGCAAAGTTCATTCTGCAACAGAAAGCTGTGAGAGATGCGAGGCGCCGTGGAGCCCTGAAGAGTTCTGGGAGTGGCTTCGATCACGACACTTTGAAAACATCTGTGACCAGCTCAGCAGTGCTCCGAGAGAAGAATCGAAGGAAGAATCGAGAGAGGATGAGAAGTCGTCAAGACGACTCCAGAGTGAATCTAACGATTGCGCGAAAATAGATCGAGATCGATTATGTAAGATAGTTGAGGAGATCGGGTTCGATGTTCCGGTAACGGAAGGAGAACAACGAACATACGAGTTATGTGACGACGCAATCGATCGGTTCTTGCCGGCCACGGGCTATCAGTCATTGATGGGACGGTTTGCGAGGTGGGCCAGGTTGGATTATGGAGTGATAAGGTTGTGCCAAGACGGGTATCGTCGGTTTGAGTTAGAGCGCTGGATCGTCCATCGAGTTAGTTCGTATTTGGCTAATCAAGCGGCCTGTGATCGTGGCTTTAAGCCGCCGAACATTCACGGTACAGTTTCCGTAGTCGACTGTCCCACGGCTGTGGACTGTCCCACGGCTGTGGACTGTCCCATGGCTGTGGACTGTCCCATGGCTGTGGGCTGTCCCACGGCTGTGGACTGTCCCATGGCTGTGGACTGTCCCACGGCTGTGGACTGTGATAAGTATGTTGTTGTGAAAGAGGGTAACCTTTGTGCAATGGATAGTAAACGTTGTGCCGTTGACAGTAACACTTATGGTGGTATGAACGGGTCAATTCCTCCATTTCAAATTTACTTCCCAGAAGAGAAGGGGTTGCAGACCTGCGCAGGGTGCCTGTTATGGGCATTTGATATATTCTACTGGAATTGGTGGCACCTGGTGCCGTTCCAAGTGAGAAGGCCTGTATCGGTCTTTGGACTGGCCCGACTGGCAGCGGATCGGGAATCGGCCCGCAGAGACAACCCGGCTTTAGCAGCCAACGGTACGTTGGAAGCGACGTGTTACAAGGTCAACTCTAGCGACGGTGTTCCCTCGGAGGCGGCAGCATTTTGTAACTGGCTGAAATTTGGGAGGGCTGCAAACGACGTAGGATACAAACCTTTGTTGCAAGTTTACAGACGCGGAGGTGGGTTCATTCCAGCAAGCCAAACGAAAGATGCATTGCAGGACCTGCTGGATTCGTGGCCGATAACGCAGGAGTCCAGTGTCAAATTTTCGGACATCCTGCATCGGTGGCGAAGACGCTACAAAGCAAAAGTATCATCCCCGACGAAATTCCAATCTAGATGCCTGTCTTGGCGAGAGTTCGAATCACTTGTGGTAAAGACCTTGGGAGACTTGCGAGTGCCTCTGACTCGGGTTTCGAAAATGTTCCGCCGGACCCGGCGAAGGCAGCAAATCCGCGACATGGTGGCCACTATGACCAGAAGGGGTCCAGACCTCGTAGGGGCCAGCGAGAACAAGGTACCTTGTGGGAGCCGGGTACCTTGTGGGAGCGGGGTACCTTGTGGGAGCGGGGTACCTGCGGTCATCATGAGCGACTCACCTCCGTCTCATCTGCTCGGTATGTCAGGTCACAGGTTCCGAATAGCCACGGAGGTAGAGGCAGACATGCGCATTAAGCCGCGCTATCTCGTTTGGGCGTACGACGTCCTGGACCATGGCTGGTGGCAGGCGATACCGGAAACTATAGCGTGGCAGGGATTGTCAGTTACGGGACTGGCTCAGAAAGCCTGTGAATGGGAAGCCAGCAACAGAAGCATTTGCACCTTGGCTGCAAGCTGTTATAACTGCGGAGAACGTGGCAGGTGGCATCTTGTAACAGAGAGTTGCGAGAGGTGTGAAGAGTCCTGGAGCCCTGAAGAGTTTTGGGAGTGGGTTCGCTCGAGACACTTCTCCAGCATTTGCAATAAACTACAGAACGCTGATCAACAGAACGCTGATCAACAGAACGCTGATCATGCGAGAGGTTCTGGCCTGTCGAGCATGTCCAGTTTTTACGAACTAGGGCGAAAACGGCTGTCGGAGATGATTTTAGAAATTGGGTTTGACGTCCCGGTTGGAAACGAAGAACCTGGTATCGAGGTCAGCGAATGGGAACTCGACAAGTTCGTGTCCATGAAACGTCGACTTTGGTCTAGTTCCACGAAGACTCGCCACTCGTTACCAAACCGGTTGAGGCAATGGCTTAGTACGCGAGGATGCGGGAAGCCCTCAGAGCACGGATTCGAACGGTGGGAGTATGAGCGCTTGATCGTACATAAACTTAACACACCTGTCTTGCCGTACCAAGACTAGCTTGCCGTACCAAGACTAGCTCCCCCGACCGGGTTACTTTTGTAACCCACCCTTTTTATCAAATGTGCGACACCACTCCATAGAACAAGTCGAATGGAGCACTGCATGGCTGGCTGTTCCGCGTCTTATTTGGGAGGTGCTTGCCAGCGTCGTTGCAACTGCTGGGTCCCCCATCCAGTAGGCACCGCTAAAAGGCCATCCACGTGTACTCTTTCTTGCTAATCACGGCCACTCGTCTGCTGGCACTTTATGCTTCCGTCAGCCACTGGCCGCTTTGGTGTGGTCTACGCTTGCATACAGCAACCGCGGGCCAGTCTTCGGCTGCCACTTCGTCCTTCAACTAGCCGTGGTCCACTGCATCGTCATCGCCGTGGGGCGAGGTGGGCCAATCAGCGGCCACGATTGTCTCTCCTGCGGATGTAGGGCCGCTCAGATGCCATCAACACGTACTCTCATCAATCATGGATCAGTCGTCTGCCATCGTAAACCCATGTGTACATACACATAGACCTTCCTGCCTACGCGAAACCTTCACCTTCAACCGAAACGTGCACGTTATTGGTAGGGTAGCAACCCTCCATCATCTGGTCGTAGGTTGGCTTCACAACTTGCTGGAGGGGAAAAAAGCCCGGAGGCCCCTTTGTTTCGGTACGGCCAGGATGCAGCATCGATTACCCTGTAGGCAATTACCCTGTAGGCAATTACCCTGTAGGAAGGCGCTCGGGTTGGTGAGAGTTTTGCTGAGCTTGAACAAACTCTATCCACCAGTCTCGTTGTTGCAACCTGTGGAAAGTGTTGCCTGGAGACCTCTAGAGGAAACAGCAAACCGCCAGTTGGTCAACAACGATACTGGGGGTGCGTTCCATAGTAGGGTAATCAAGAGGGGGATCTCGACAGCAGGTACTTGGACAGAGGGGGCCTCGCGACGAAAGAAAATGTGTTTGCAATCGGCACTAAGTTTCTTAGACCAGGCTTCGGCACTGAGTGATGATGCCGTCGCAATGATGGATAGATTTGCAGCCGAGATGTTGGAAGACTGGAATGATGATGATGATGACGTTATCGCAGATGTTGCCAGGATTGTAGATGACATGTTGGCTGATAACCCGAATGCCCGATTTCAGAGTAGGGTGAAAAGAACCTCGGTGGGTTCTGAAAAAGTGTGTGGTACAAAGAAGATCTGTATCGGCGTTCCTGAGAGTGTTGTTTCTGAGTGTGTTGTTGCTGAGCGTGTTGCTGGATTTCCGGTAATGTTGCCTCAAGATCAGAAGCGGAGCTTTCTAAATGCCCGTTATCTAGTATGGGCATATGACATATGTAGGTACGGTTGGTGGCAGTTGCTGCCATTCGAAGTACCGAAGCCATGTTCAATATTTGGATTGGCGCAACGAGCTATTGAGTGGAACGAAGCTAAGCGAGCTAACCCAGGTTTAAAAGCCAACTCCGCAATGGAATGTCGATGTTATAACCACCCTGGGAAGCCTCGATGGGGCCCAGGTGAGTTTTCATTCTGGTTGATGTCAAAATCTTCTGGGAACCTTGTGGGATTTACAGAGGAGCTAAATGGTGAGAGATTCGCCTGGTTCCTTCCGCAGAGTGACGTCCACGAGGCACTTGGAGACCTGCTGGGGTCCTGGCCGGTGAGTGATTGGGGCATTTTACAGATATCATTCGACGTTGGCGACGTCGTTACAAGAGGCATAAGTACAGCAGCCGTTTGTTGACTGCCAGAACAGATTGTGGGCGAAATTTGATGGATTAGTCTTGAAGACTATAGGAGATCTGCAAGTGCCCATGACCATGATATCGAGTGAATTTTCTAGACAAAAGCGAAGACAACGAATAGAACAGAACCTGGCCAAGTTGCGCGATATACAAACCAACGACCCTGCATATGACCGTGCACATGACCGTTCATACGAGCTCATTCTTAACGGCTACCCTCCATCACATCTGCTGGATGTTTCTGGCAACAAATTTATGATTGCCACAAAAGCAGACACAAAACTCCGAATCCCGTCCCGATACCTAGTTTGGGCGTACGACTCGCTGAATCAGGGCTGGTCGGGTGCGATACCCAAGAGCATTTCAAGACCAGGATTGTCTGTATTTAGATTGGCTCAGGAGGCGTACGAATGGGAAAGAACTCAAAAAATCTTCCTTCTGACTGCGGGCTGTTACCGCTGCGGAGAAGGCGGCAAGACTCATTGGACTGAGGAAGCTTGTGAGAGATGCCATGAATGGTCTTTGGAAGAATTTTGGGAATGGCTTCGATCTAGACATTTTTGGAGAATTTACGAACATTTAAAAAACGCAAGTCAGTCGAGAAAATTAAATCAGTCGAGAAAATTAAATCAGCCGAGAGAATTAAATCAGCCGAGAGAATTAAGTCAACAGGCAGGTCCAAGCGCAGACTTTTATGAACAGGCAGACTGGAGTCCAATTGCAGACTCCAGTGAAGGGGACGAATTTTGCTGGGGTGAACCCTTTTCAGAGAGGTTACCGGAGTTGGTTGATGCAATTGGCTTCGATTGTCCAGCGGAAATCGGAGACGTGCGATCCCTGGTGTTCGGTAGGAGGATCGAGAAGTTCATGCCGGCAGACAACCACACGTCGTTCACGTGCCGGTTCGTACAGTGGTGGAATAATTGGGGTAGATTTGTTAAGAAGAGAGCAAGCAAACGAGGTGGTCGATGGAAGTGTTTTGGGAGTGCTAGTCGATGGCAACAGGAGCGGCTTATTTTGCACAGAGTTGGATTTGCTCTAAGTCGCGGCGTCGACCAAAATACGGAGTGATCCAGGCCCGGTCAGGGAGAACCCGACCAGGGAGAACCCGATTAGGGAGAACCCGGCAAGGGAGAACCCGGCAAGGGAGAACACGGCCAGGGAGAACCCGGCCACGGAGAACACGGCAAGGGAGAACCCGGCAAGGGAGAACCCGACCACGGAGAACCCGACCACGGAGAACCCGATTAGGGAGAACCGTTTTCCTCAGTACCAAGCTCCTCTTCAGTCATCATACCCGTCGACACATATTTCAACATCGTCGGGAAACGCAACTCAAGAAGTGCGTCCACCCTCACAGCCTCCGGCCGCATTAAAGGCAACTCATTTGAGTACCTTGCGTCAGTTCCTATCAACGCACTGGTGCTAGCCCTGTCGCTGGGTGTGGGATGTTGTTGTGCGCAAGCACAGCAGAACTCACAGCCTCGCGCAACTCCGGACCACTCCGAACATCCGCTCCATGCAAAGCCTTCGATATTCCACGGTGACTCGACTCGTTAACACCGTTCCCTTGTGGTCGGTATGGCGCAGTCACATATAACCTGCACTTCCAGCACTTCTGAACCAGGTCAAAGAACTCTCCTTTGAATTCAGTGCCCCCGT